TGAACCCACAATCATGGAATCCAGTGAACCCACAATCATGGAATCCACTGGTCTTACCATGTTTGCCATCATCCTAAAGCAGCTTGCATGCTAGAAAGATGAAATAGCCTTTAGAAGACAAACTTGCATCATCAGTGGTAGCACCCTGAAAGGCTGGGGCAGGGTTCTCCACTAGCAGTATATGCTTTGAATCAGCATCCGATATTATGGCACTGTTTCTCCCTCAGCCAGGATCCATAGATCCAGGAATCAAAAGGTGGAAAAGGGAATGGTTCCACTCACTATCACCTCCAGTGACCCATTAGGTAATTTTTGCTTTCTCTTCCAGTAACCTTAAGTTCTGCTGGCCTAAAAGTTTTCGTTACAGAGTGGGAAGTGCTCTTATCAGAAGACACAACAGTGCATTGAACTGGAAGCTCAGAATTTCCCCTGAACACATTGGGCTTCTGATGTCCATAAGTCAACAGTCTGAAAAAAGAAACAACAAGGTTAGAAGGAGTTATTGATTGATATTATCAAGGGAAAATTAGATCACTTCTCCACAGTGGAGGTTATGTCTAGAGTGCAGGAGATCCTTTAGGGCGTCTCTTGGTGTCACCATGTCCTGTGATCAAAGTCAATAGGAAACTTCAACAGCCTGATCCAGGCAGAATGACAAAGGGCACAGACCCATCAGGAATGAAAGTATGGGTTACTCTTCCAGGATGAGCCAAGATCTCATGAGGTGCTTGCTGAGGGTCAAGGAAATACAAAATAGGTAGTAGAGGAATGTAGTTATAGATACTAGCTAAGGCCATGTGACCAAGTTGCAGAAATGAAGATTATAATTGGCATGAGTCTTCTGAAGTATTTTGTTAAGGATATGCTTATACAGATATTTGCTTTCTTTCCTCAATAAATCATAATGATGCTGGGCAGTGGTGGCACATACCTTTAATCCCAGCACTCAGGAGGCAGAGGCAGGAGGACCTCTGTGAGTTCAAGGCCAACCTCGTCTACAAAACAAGTTCCAGGACAGCCAGGACTGTTACCCAGAAAAACTCTGTCTTGAAAAATAAAACAAAACAAAATTTATCATGTAATGTAGCATCAACTAAGAGAATATCTGGTTATCATAGTTACGTTTTGAGATACCAAAAGAATGTCCCTCAAGGAATATTGTCATCTACTCTAAAATTTTAATGTAAAAATTTCAGTTATACAAGAGATAGTTATTTTATATTAGGCATAATTATGACCTGTTTATTGTTTTATTTGGAAATTAAGCCTGACATAAGGAGATCTGATTATCAGGTTGACAAGGTGTGGCCTTGTGATGGCTATTCTTGGTTGTCAACTTGGCCACATCTGGAATTAACTAAAACCCAAGCAGCTGGGTACACCTGTGAGGGGTTATTTCTTACTTAAATTAAGTAAGAAAACCCACTTTTAATCCAGATCATTTGAGGTGGGAAGATCTACCTTTAATCTGGACCACACCTTTTGCTGGCAGCTCTATAAAAGACATGGAAGAAGGAAGTTTGTCCCCTTTGCCTGCTTGCTCTCATTTTCACTAGCAAGTCCATTAGAGCCTACTTCAGGATTCCAACACACGATGACTACTGGATTCTTGGACCATCCATTGGAAGACAGCCATTGTCGGGCTAGCTGGATCACAGCCTGTAAGCCATTATAATACATCGTGTGTGTGTGTGTGTGTGTGTGTGTGTGTGTACATACACACACATTCATTCATTCAATCAGTTCTGTTCCTCTAGAGAACCCCGACTAATACATATATACACTGAAAATAGAAAAAGAACACGTACTGAAGGGAATGGAAGAAGCCCTCAGCAAGTGAAGTTCTGAGTGACGGTGTATTTTGGCATGAGCAAGTCCTTTTGAGGACTCTGATACCAATTGGTCCATGGGAAACTGGGAAAGTCATTATGAACGAGGCTCAAAAGGGATGGCAGAGCTTTCTTCAGGAGACTGGGTATGAGTGTTTATGAACGAGCGACCAGTATGTGCAAAGACCAGCAACTGCAACTTCCTCCTTTAGGAGGCTGACAGCCTGAGACTGCTCACCTACAGAGACCTTCTAGGAAGACTAACCCAACCCTTCCCCCTGTGCTGTACCCAATAAACATGCCAAGGTTTCGGGTTGCAGTGATAGCAGTGGTGTTAAAAAAGAAAATCATTAGGTGGTGGTGGCGCTCACATTTAATCCCAGCACTCGTGAGTCAGAGACAGTGGATCTCTGGGTTTGAGGCCAGCCTGGTCTACAGAGTGAGTTCTAGGACAGCCAGGGCTACCCAGAGAAACCCTGTCTCAAAAAACAAACAAACAACAACAAAAACAAACAAACAAGCAAAACCCCCAGCATCCAGCTTCATTGTACGTGTGTTTGTATGTCTATCTTTCCTTCCTTCCCTTGCCACCCCGGGCCAAGGTTCTAGGACCCAAACTAAGAGGGACAGGGCACCACACGGTATTGTGATCCCTCTTCTTCCCACATACCCCTCTACCCTATTTCTCACCATCTAAAGTACTATAGGTTTTCTATTACATGGTTTAGTCTTTAGTCCTTTTTCCTCCCACAGGAACATAAATTCAATAATTTTATTTTGTTTGTTCACAATATTAAAAACTCTTCAGATAGCTTCCTATTAGGGATTCAATCTGATGAACAAATATTGTGAGATTCTTAAATATTCATGAATAATGTTGTTGAGCTTATGGTAGGAAAGAGGAGGGCTAGGGATCCTAGAGTGAGTCCCCAACCCTGTCACGTGCTCAGCTGGGGTTTGGTGTCATTTGTCTGTGTCTTCGGGTCTCCTAGCTATGAAATGTACCACTTGGAACAAACTGCGCTCTTCTAAAAATGCCAGGAATAGGCAGCGGACTGAGAATAAGGTGACAGATTACACTCTGTTGGACAAAATCAACAGCATCTCGTATCAGTCACCAGAAGGGTTACAAAAAAATCAACATTTATTGCATACGTAGCATACAAAGATGATCCAGACACAGGCCTTCCTTGGAGGTGTTCCTAGCCTAGTGGGCAAGGCAGACATGGAAACAGACTGTATGCAGCTTCAAGTCTGCTAGTTACAACCTACAGAGTGACACATAGCACACACACAGCCTTTCCCCAGCTGGCCCCTGAAGACTCATCTGCTCCACCCCTTTCTTAGCCCCAAGCAGCCAAACCCTCCCCTTATGCTCTGTGCCTTCAATGACACAGCTCCCCTACTCTGACACCTTTGCTTAGCCTTCCCAACTCTGACAGTCCCATTGCTCTCTCTGCCTCTGCTGTCACCATCTCTGGGCCCCAAAGCTCCAGTTTCCTCTCCCCCAGGATCTATCTGTTCTTGCCTCTTCCTGTCTACACACCACAGGGAAGTCAGAGGGATCTGTCTTCTGTATGTAGGACTTATCATGATGCTTATCCTAGCAGAAACAAAAATAGACCTTCATTCCTTGATTTAAAGCCTGTAATTTTTTTCACAGCTCACCTGGAACTATATAGACCAGGTTGACCTCTAACTCAGGGATCTGCCTGCCTCTGTTCCTCAAATGCTGCAGTTAAAGGCATTGGCTACCATGCACCACAAGCCCATAAACTTTACTATGGCCCACCAAGCTTTGTGATACCCTCCACCCTGCCCCACCCCCACCCCTGCATTGTTCTCTCCACTCCAGCCAAAATACCCTTTCTTGCCCAGGGTATCATGTTTCCCTCTCCCTGGCGACCTCCGCGCATGCTTTCTGCTTTTACTTGAATAACGTCTACTCATTTGTCAGAGTTCAGTTCAAACCTCCTGTCGTTCCCCCAACCCTCCCTCAGCTTTGTCAGGTACTAACTTGCCATAACAGTAGTTTTAGAGTTAACTGTGAACCACTTAGTGCCCTATCTCCATCTGAATAGGGACCACATATCTTGCTCATCACTGCACAAGAGGCGCCTCCAGCTGAATTTGGCATAGAACAGGTACCCCAAATGTGTAACGCACACTTAGTCACCAATAGATGCTCAGCCCCTTGTGGGTATCAAAGAGGTTTGCTGTGCCTGTCCAGATCGCCTGTCACTAAAGACGACATTCCAGCTGCTAGCCATGTTAGTGTCCACAAAAAGCCTTTAGCTGTCAGCTGCTCCAGATATGGAGCCTTCTTGGCTCCTGTTGTGCCTCTTGCCAGGAGACACTAATCAGTGATTGGCAAGACCGCAGTGTATGGGTCTGCTATCTCGGAGTCTCTACAGGGTGAACCCGAAAGCAGTCTCTCCCAAACCTCCTGCATTGCAGGAGTCCAAACCGCTGCAGATTCAAGCTCCTTTGCCTTCTCTAACCTCTCCATCTTAACCTAAAGTTTGTACACATTGTTCAGCTATCCAGGTGTTTCCCATCATTTTTCTATTATAGTTCAGTACTCTTGATTCTATACTATGTGTATTATTCCCGTGAAGAAGTAGGCTCAGAACAGTGAGCGATCTGCCTTAGGCCAAGCACTATCTAGAAGCTAATCTCACACGTAGATTTTTCTCCTTTCTCTCCCTATTAAGTCGCTATATCCTGAGCACGAGCAACCAAATTCATACAAGCGAATTTTGGTCTCAGACTCAAGAAAACGGGATCCTTGGATCTGGAGCCAACCGGCGCTGAACATCTGGGGAAACTGAGGTCCAGAGCCAGGACTCCACGCCTGCAGAGGCGACTGCGAAGGGGGCGCGTCCTGGTCCGTGGGCCGCCTCCTTCCGGGCCCGCACGCCAGGGTCTCCCCTCCCTGTCTTTTCCCTCGCCAAGCCGCCACCTCGGAAGCGAGTCATGGTTGCGACCGTGGCGGCGGCGTGGCTGCTCCTATGGGCCGCGGCCTGCGCGCAATCCGAGCAGGACTTCTACGACTTCAAGGCAGTCAACATCCGGGGCAAGCTGGTGTCGCTGGAGAAATACCGCGGCTCGGTGAGTGACGGTGTCCTACGGGCCTGACTCGGCGGGGGCAGGGCTCGATGGGGGCCCCTAGCCGGGGCTCTTCGGGGGAGGCTCCCTTCGGGTGCATCACAGCTCGGGGATGCTCCCGTTGGGCACCACCCTGGGGATCCCAGCCCCGCGATCCGTCCATCCGGCGCCCCCAGGCACAGACCCGCGGCTACGTGGCACAACCCAGGAACCACAACGCGCTATCTGCGCTCTCAGGGCGCAAGATCTCGCCCTGAAAGAGAATGCCCTCCGCCCCGGCTTTGCCTCTTCTAAGAGTAAAAATAACCCTAGCTTTTGCCCCTCCAGTCTGACTTTTGCGCCTGGAACAGTGAGTGGGTCAACAAATAAAAGTGCAGGGTAGGGAGTGAGCATCTAAGATAGACCTTTGCTTGGTTCTTAGAATGCACACTGAGAACGAAGGCTTGGGCACAGGACCACACAACAGTAGAAAGCAACCAACTCCCATCCCTTTGGTCCTCTCAAGCCCCACCCCTTAGAGGGCAGTTGTGATGGAGCTGTTAGCCATCCAGCATGACAGGCCCCTCCTTGCTAGACTGAATCACAGTAAGGGAGTGTATCAGGATTGGGTCTTTAAAAAAAAAAAAAAGACTTGAGCAATGAGCAAGACAGATCAGGACAAGCAGAGCTGGCCAAGTCCAGACACAAGCAAAACTGCCGGGGGGGGGGGGTGTTAGAGGGGGTGAGCAGGACCAGGGCTTTCAATAGTGGTACCTGAAGGATACAAACCCCTAGGCTAATGGTGGTAGATGGAACTGATGGGGCCAGGGAGAACCCAGAGGGACTTTGAACTACAAGTTCAGAGACCCAGTGCTATGCTGTTTGTGACAAAGAATCCTCACAAGGTGTTGCAGGCCTTTAATCCCCAGCCCTACACTAGGGAGGAAAAGACAAGCTGGCCCCTGTGGGTTCGAGGCCAACTTGGTGTCCTCTTAGGGAGTTCCAGCCAGCTACTATCTCGGAATAATAATAATAATAATAATAATTTTTTTTTAAAAATCTGTCAAAGAATCTTCTGCCTCTTGAGAGTGGGAGGCCCTGATGTGAAGATGTGTGGTGCTGGACGTTAACGGACCTGGGAGTCCATCATCCAGGCTTGGATGAATCACGAAAGAATGGCTCTCAGTGTGCTTTTCTTGGGAGCAGGGCCATCTTTAGGGACAAAACTGGTTTCAATTGCCTTGACATTATCGATTATGCTGGGAGTCCTTGCTCGGACCAGTGTGAATTTCAAAATGAGGGGACACTGCTCGGACCAGTGTGAATTTCAAAATGAGGGGACACTGTGGAAGCACTTGCTAAGCTTTAGAGTGCCCATGTGTATTGTAGGGACCTCATCCAGGGACCTCATCCAGGACGCCAAAGAATTGCAAAGAGCAGGGTCCATTCCTGTCAGGCCTCCCCTCCCCTCTAACATGGCTGGGCATAGTCCCACCCGAGCATACACCACCCGAGCAGCTCCCCCAGTCATTAATTCATTGTCTATTATTTGGCACCTACTGTACACTAGCTAGAAACCCAAGCCCTGAAGATAAATAGTGACGGGCAAAACAAGTTTATGTTTTAATCAAGCTGATAGGGAGGAAAGACAGTAAATGGGGTACTGAAAACTGAGTCAGGCAATCCCAACAGCGATAAGAGATTAAAAAAAAATAGACAATATTTTTCAGCTCCTGATAGGAATAGTGTGTACAATTAGCCTGGAACATACTTTTAATCCCAGCACTTAGGTGGCAGAAGCAGGCAGATAGCTGTGAGCTCAAAGTCGGTCTGGTCAATATAGCCAGTTCTAGGCCAGCCAAGGCTGCATTAGGTAATGAGATCCTGTCTCAAAATAAAATAAAATAAAATAAAATAAAAAAGGTAGAGTTAGAGGCCAGTAGGATTGCTCAGTGGGTGTGTCAAGGACCTGAGTTCAATTCTCAGGACTTCTACGGTAAAAGGAGAGAGCCACTTCCTGGAAGTCACTCTCTGATCTCCAAACAGGCACACCACGGTGTGCAGGATCACCCCGCCCCCGGTTTGTTTTGGTTGTTTGAAGAGGGGTAGAGTTAGAATTTGAACCCCAGCGGTACAACTCAAGAGTCTCTGCCCTTAATTGCTAAGCTCAGAAAAAAGAAACCGGGAGCAGTCAGTCCAGGGAGGCTGGTTGACCTGAGCCGGGCCGTTGCTTGGGGCATACCTTCATTTGTCATTAACAAACATTTGCTTCCTCCTACTACATGCCTGATACTGAGTGATAGTCATAAATGTCATGGGTGACAGTCACTGAGTCCATGGCTGGGCAGGAATGTTGAGGAGTGCTTGGGGGAGTGCTTACTTCCTGGGTGGAATGTGTGAGTGGGAGAAGGGTGTGAGTAATGTGTTTTATTGGCTTGTTTCTATGTACACATCTGAATCTATTTCTATGCATGTGTGTGCACATGTGTGGATAAGCTCTTTGGTTTCCTGGATGGAATGAGAAGCAAGATGCTCCCCTTCACAAAACCTAGGGAGACACACATGATACAGGCTTAAAAGAAGCATCTTAAAGTGCACTCAATAAAGGCCCAGTAGGAAAGAAGTAAGGAGAACCTTACTTGGAGGAGAGAATCTAGAGTCCCGACTTCTTACCACCCCAGACAGAGTGTGCGGTGGGTCAGATCAGCTCAATGATTCTCAGCAGGGGTAAACTTTCTCAGAAAGATTTTTTTTTTAAGTTAGCTGGGTGGTGGCGTGCACCTTTAATCTTAGAACTCAGGAGTTAGAGGCAGGGCTACACAAAGAAACCCTGTTTCAAAAATTTAAAAAAAGGGTTTTTTGTTATTACATTTTGTGTGTGTGTGTGTGTATGTTTATGTATGTTTGCTGTTATTACATTGTGTGTGTGTTTATGTGTGCTGCTGTTATTACATTGTGTGTGTGTGTGTGTGTGTGTTGTGTGTGTGTGTGTGTGTGTGTGTGTTTATGTGTGCTTGCCTTTCATGGTGTCCAGCTGGGGGCCAGATAACAACTTAGGGAAATCATTTCTTTTCTTCTACTTTGTGGGGCCCTGGGATTGAACTCAGAATGTCAAGTGTGGCAGCAAATGGTTATCTCTCCAGTTTGTTTTGTTGTTTTGTTTTGTTTTGTTTTGAGACATGGTGTGTCTCACTGTGCAGTAGCTGGCCTGGAGCTTGCTAGGTATACCAGGCTGGCCTTGAACTCACAAAGGTTCACTTGCTTCTGTCTCTGCCTCCTAAGTGTGGGGATTAAAGGCATGTGCCATTTTTTTTTCCATTAAAGAGACAGTCTTACTGTGTAGTTTAGGCTTGTCTCTAATTTACAATTCTACTGCCTTAGTGTCCTTAGAGCTGCAATTACAGGTATGTGCCACAGACCCCATTGGGAAACATTTTTGGAGGTCAAGCCTAGACATCGAGTGAGTACAGGCTAGGATGATGCCAGATATTCTACAATAAACAGGACACTCCCCACAACGAAGACCTGTAATTTCAGTACTGCTGAATTTGAGGAGTCTATCTAGTCTGTTCCAGACTGACCCTGGGAAGTGGTCAGTAGCCAGGTGACATTATCCCAGCTTGTCTCAAAACAGCCACGGAGCTAGGACGCCCAGGCAAAGGATGGTAATCTTTCAGGAATACATAGCTAGAAGCTGGAAATGTGGCACTGGTGCCAAAATTCTAATTACATTATAATTCAGTTCCATCTGCTAGCTAGCACTGTATTTATTGCCTAAAGTCTTTAATAAAATTAGGGCTCAGTGATCAAAGTATTTGTTTGCTGGAAGGGAGGAGATAAAAAGGACTGTCCTGGGGGTCATTCTGTCTGTGTACTCATGTACTGGCAGTCCCAACCCGGGAAGGGTACAGGGAGGCTCTTTTGCTTCCTTTTCCTTTAGAGACTTCTGGGAAAGAGGCCGCCTGAATTCCTGGAAGTACCCAGCTGACAGAACCAAATTGAACCCACGTGTGCCTTTCTCCTCCCCAGCATCGCCTACTGATACATGGTCTCTGTGTGCATGCCTGTCTGTGAATGTACTACATGTATTTGTGGATTTGTGTACTACTAGCTAATGTAGGTTTGCATCACAGAGCATGTGCCTATTAATTTAGGTGAATTGTGTGCTTACAGTCACAGATACTCATGTATGTGTGAACATGTGTATAGGCCCCCCCCATGCTTGATTTCATATGTGGGTGTATTTTGTGGGAACATTATACACGTATTTACATATGTTCATAGCATTCTTGCATGTGTGATGTAGACATATCAGAGTAGACACAAGTGCATGCCTCCTCGCTGGATTGTGTATGGTTCTGAGCCTTCTTCTGTTTTGTTTCTACCACGCAGGTTTCTCTGGTGGTGAACGTAGCTAGCGAATGTGGCTTCACAGACGAGAACTACCGAGCCCTGCAGCAGCTGCAGCGGGACCTGGGTCCCTACCATTTTAACGTGCTCGCCTTCCCTTGCAACCAGTTTGGCCAACAGGAACCAGACACCGACAGGGAGATTGAGAACTTTGCCCGCCGTACCTACAGTGTCTCTTTCCCCATGTTCAGCAAGATTGCAGTCATTGGCACTGGTGCCCACCCTGCCTTCAAATACCTGACCCGTGAGTCCTTCTCTTCTCCCCGTCACCTTCCCTCCCTGGCTGTCACCATGACTGCCTGGGCAACAGAAGCTGCTGGCTGGCTGGGTCACCTTTGTCTTCCTGACCCTTGGAGGAAGTGGGCGAGGGTAGGCCTGAGTAGAGGCAGAATCGTGCCCACGCCTCTATACCTGTTGTCTCACCCTAGGACGTCCCCGAGATCTTGTCCCCACTCCCAGGGCCTCCTGGGAGCACACGGATCATCCTGCTTTTGTCAGTGTTCCTCAGCTGAGCTTATAGATGGAGAATCGAGAAACTACGGCACAGCCATGAGATGCCACACCCCTGGAGAAGGGTGACCAAGATGACTGAAAGTCTCTTGTTCTGAGTTAAAGTATATACACTAAAAGGGAAACCTCTCCAAAAGAATCAGCTTAATTGCCATGCCTGGAATACCAGTGGCAGGCACGAGGCGTGGGCTGTGAATGAAAACACCAAGCACGGAAAGGCAGTAGAGTTTGTTAGGTACTCTGTGGTCTAACTGCAACAGACCAGACAGGACAGAAGCTGTGCAGAGATGGTCTAAGGGGAGGGGGTGCCTTTATGTGCATGGGGAGGGAGGCTCTGTGCACAGGCAGACAGTGTTTCATTGTCACTGCTCTCTTTAGGTCTCATCCGGTGGGACTGCTCAGTGCTGGCTCCCTGGAAGGGTAGGCAGGTATCACGTTATTTGGTTGAGGAACACATTTTACAACACAGGTTATCTCTTCTTGGGACTGACTATCTGAGAGGCAGGTTTGGCTCACCAAGGGTCAAACATTGAGTGTTCTGGGCCTGCTCATTAAAAAGTGGGATGCTCCGGGCAATGGTGGCGCGCACCCGTTAATCTCAGCACTTGGGAGGCAGAGTCAGGTGGGTCTCTGTGAGTTCCGTGGTCTACAAAGCAAGTTCCAGGACAGCCAGGACTGTTACACAGAGAAACACTGTCTCAGGGAAATAAATAAATAAAATAAAAAGTAAAAAGTGGGATTCTGGGATTAGAGAGGTGACTCCAAGGTTAAGAACACTGGCTGCTCATCCAGAATCAAACCCAGGTTTGATTCCTGGTGCTCACATGGCAGCTCACAACCATCTGCAACTCCAATCCCAGAGAATCCAATACCCTCTTCTGTCCTCCTCGGGCATTGTACACATATCATGTGCAGACATGCATGCAAGCAAAACACCTATACACATTAAAAATAGAAGAAGAAAAGAAAGATAATCCCAGATGCCTGTCTCAGCTGCAGCCCCTATGAACTCTGGAATCTGGAGAGCTTTGTGTACTTGTTCACATCCTTTTCTCCCCTCCTGTGTGTGTTGTTAGGTTTTCTCCCAGTTCCTACAACTGTAGATCAGTCTGGCCTTGCCTCAGAAGCTCCTGGAAAGATCTTATAATCGTACAAGCCTGAACCCTACTCTATCAGAGCGCAAGAATTTTTCCGAAGGCCCCACTTCCTGACAAGTGATTTGGATTCAGCCAGTACAAGGACTAACCTTTAGAAGCCATTAAGACTTAATTGGAAGCAGGGAATTGTAGTGCAGGCCTACACGTGTGAGTTGGAAGCTAGGAGGATACAGTTTTCCAGATCTTTTTCAGACATGTAGCAAGATGAAGATAGCCTGGGTTACATGGAATCCTGTCTCGAAGCAGAACAGCCTTCGAGGACAGGGTGTGACTGGGGTGATTAGGAGAGGCTGACTGGTAGACAGTACTGAATGGCGTACTTCCCAGGATCCTCTCTCAATCTGGATCCCCCAACTGGACTCTACGGGAGAGCTTTTGAAAAGTGCTGGGAGCTGGGGCTTGTTCTCAGTGCCGCTAATTTAAGAGGTCTGGGTGGGGCCTGGGTGTGAGATAGACCCATGGTGGGATCCAGGAATTGGGCATGGGGAGGCACACTGTTCTTCTGCTTCCTTTTTCTTTAGAGACTTCTGGGAAGGAGCCCACCTGGAACTTCTGGAAGTACCTAGTGGCCCCAGACGGAAAGGTGGTGGGGGCTTGGGATCCAACCGTGCCTGTGCAGGAGATCAAGCCACGGATCACAGAGCAGGTGGCAAAGCTCATTCTTCAGAGACGAGCAGAGTTGTGACCCGGTTCTCTCTTCCCCACCATTCCTGTCCCTCAGCAATCTCAAGTGGTGCTTCACAGGCAGAAAGCCTGGGCTTCTCATCCCTTCGGTCACATAAAGGAAGAAGTCTAAGACTTGGATGATTTGAATCCAAGAGCAAAGAATAGGAACTCCTGGCCAATGAGAGTTCTTAACAGCCAATCAGCGGCCACTAGGCTGATAGCCAAAAGAAACCATGTAGAAGGTATGAAGCAATCATCCCCTAGCCAGACTTCTGTAAAGGGGAGCCAAGTCTTACCTCACAGGAAGGCTATGAGGATTAGCATCTAATACCTGTGAGCGTGCCTGGGGCAGTGCTAGCCAAAGATGAAGCATTGAACACATGTTTTCTGCCTATAAACAAAACAGTACTTGTGATAATAAAACTTGAACTCAACACGGATTTCTAGCCAATGGAAATCTAGGCCAAGCGTGTGTTGTTTTTGTCCTCTGTTCTTGTGTGTATTATTGTTTTATTTAATTACAAAAGATGCCAGTTCTTGGAGTAGAGTGGGAGAAGGGCTCAGAGTTCAAACACTTGCAAGATTCTGGGTTCTGTTCTCAGAAAGAA